GTGTGAGATGGCATCTCAATGTAGTTTTGATTTGCATTTCTCTAATGACCAGTGATGATGAGCATTTTTTCATATATTCATTGGCCTCATAAATGTCTTCTTTTGAAAAGTGTCTGTTCATATCCTTCATCCACTTTTGAATGGGTTTTGTTTGCTTTTTTCTTGTAAATCTGCTTTAGTTCTTTGTAGATTCTGGATATTATCCCTTTGTCAGATGGGTAAATTGCAAAAATTTTTTCCCATTCTGTTGGTTGCTGGTTCACTCTAATGATAGTTTCTTTTGCTGTGCAGAAACTCTTGTTTCATTAGGTCCCATTTGTCTATTTTGGCTTTTGTTGTCAATGCTCTTGGTGTTTCAGTCATGAAGTCCTTGCCTGTGCCTGTGTCCTGAATAGTTTTGCCTAGATTTTCTTCGAGGGTTTTTAGGGTGTTAGGTCTTATGCTTAAATCTTTAATCCATCTGGAGTTAATTTTAGTGTAAGGTGTCAGGAAGGGGTCCAGTTTCTGCTTTCTGCACATGGCTAGCCAGTTTTCCCGACACCATTTATTAAACGGAATATTTTCCCCATTGCTTGTTTTTGTCAGGTTTGTACCCCAGAACTTAAAGTACAATAAAAAACAAAATGATAAATAGGGCAGGTAAAAAAAAAAAAAAAAAAAGATGAAGGTAGGAATTCAGCAAATACGGCATTTACTACCGGTACGGTATTTGCTGTGGTATTTAACACTGCCTTTGATCATGAAACCATGGCTGCCATGCTGATCTGCTTTGGATCTGTGTCCCCACCCAAATCTGGATCAGGCATGGTGGGTCACACCTGTAATCTCAGCCCTTTGGGAGGCAGAGGCAGGCAGATCATTAGAGCCCAGAAGTTCCAGACAAGCCTGGGCAAGCAATATTGGGAAATATTGGGAAACCCGGTCTCTACAAACAAACAAACAAAAAACAAAACAAAAACCCAGGCGTGGTGGTAAGCACCTGTCCTCCCAATTACCAGGGAGGCTGAGGTGGGAGGATTGCCTGACGCCCAGGAGATCAGGAGACCCCGTCTCAAAAACAAAAACAGAAACAAAACGAAACAGAAATACCCAGTGCTGGAGGGGTCTTTGAGGGAGGTGACTGGATCAGGAGGCAGGTTCTGATGCTTTGGTGCTCTTCCTCTGGTGCTGTTCTTATGCTCGGGTTCCCATGAGAGCTGGGGTGGCACCTCTCTCCTCTCTGTCTTCCTCCTTCTCCAACTATGTAAAATGTACTTGCTTTGCCTTTGCCTTCCACCATGACTGTAAGTTTCCTGAAGCCTCCCTAGAAGCAGAAGCCACTATGCTTCCTGGACAACCTGCAGAACCATGAGCCAATTCAACCTCTTTACTTCAGAAACCAAAAAGAAAAGAAGGCATAAAGATCAGGACATTTTTTTGTTTTGAGACAGAGTCTTGCTCTGTCACCAAGCTGGAGTGCAGTGGCTTAGCTCACTGCAACCTCCGCCTCCCAGGTTCAAGCAATGCTTGTGCCTCAGCCTCCCAAGTAGCTGGGATTACAGGCATGCACCACCACGCCCGGCTAATTTTTATATTTTTGTAGAGACGGGGTTTCACCATACTGGCCAGGATGGTCTCAACTTCTTGGCTTTGTGATCCACCAGCCGCAGCCTCCCAAAGTGCTGGGATTACAGGCCTGAGCCACCACACCTGGCCAGAAAAATATTTTTTAAACAACAAAATGCCCTTGTATAGTAAGTATTATCTCTTACAAGTGCAAGTTAATCTTAAAATTCAATTCAACATATTTAGGTAAAAATGGCAGTGCCTCAAATAAATACTGCTGTCTTTTTATACATGACCATGTTTATTAAGGATGCATATATAAAAAGCTAGACTTGACCTTCATTTACAGCAGAACAATTTAATACTGGGAAGTAGATATTCCACAAATGACCCAGCTTGTAAGACTCCAGCGAGAAACCCTCACGACTGGGCCCAGACTCCAGAGCCACCCACCGGCTGTGTGACTTTGGGCAAGGCTCCTGTGCATGGCTTCCACGTCTGTGGACACGCAGGAAGGGCCTGGCCCCCTGCAAGCCCTAGAGGATGCCAGCTATTAAGATCACGTTTGCTGGCGGCCCCGTGAGAAGCGTTCCTGACACATGGCTCTGACTTACCCCTAATGCCCTCTCCCCTCCACCACATGCTCCTCTCAGCATCTATCCCCTTTTCTGTTTTAGTGAATCTGTTTTTCCTCTCTTGGGGCACTTCAGGCTCATCTACACGTCACAAACACTAGAGGCCTGGGACGGGCCCATCCTTCCAAAGGACTTCTGACACCTGAGCCAATGAAGAGTCTCACAAATTGGTTCCTTTAAAACCAACTGCCAGTGAAAATCCTGATGCCTCAGAAACTAATTCCTTCCACTGTCAAGCAAAATGAAGATTTTTGCTGTATTTGTCTATTCAAGGAACAGCTTGAAGCAGACACCCCCAGCACCACAAGGAAAATCACGGTCAATCTGAGCTCTCTTTGAGTGTTAAAGGAATATTACCAATATTCCCCACTGGTCCCCACCCAGTTGGACGGGCCATTCCTGCCAGTGCCTAGATGCACACTGCACGCTTCTCACACTCAGGATTCCTTCTTCACCACCACTAGATCACGGCACCTGAGGGCTGGAAAGGATTTCACAAGTCATCTACATCAAAGGTCAGAGATCCAAATTCCCAGAGGCCCAGTCAGGTCATGAGTCACAAAGGGACCGGAACCAGCTGTGTGTCCCATGTGAAGAAAGAGCTGCCCCCTGGTTCCAGCTGTCACCGCAGGCCTGGGACAGCCAGATGTTCTGAGTGGTTAAGAGGAGCTGAACATTCAGACTTTATGTGTGGACCAAGCAAAGCACATTCCAGAGATGGCCCAAGGGCTTCCAGCTCACACATTCCAATCCCGACAGAGCTGCGGTTCCCACTGCAAGCCTCAGACCCTGGAGGTGTAGAGAGCTGCTACTCTGTGGCCACTGAATCCAGTGCTGGAAGACAGACCAGGGTTCCAGACAGACATCACCTGTGGACTGCAGAGACGGTGTGCCTTGCTCTTATAAGCACTTTTTTTTTTTTAACATAAAAGGACACTGTAATGTGAACAATACCAAATTTTATTTCCAAACAGCACTAAGCTGATGATTTTTCATTTCACATTCTCATAAATGAGGAGATCCCAAAAGCACAGTAACAGTCTCGTAGGGTGCACAGATTTTATCTAATCAGAAAGGGGACTCCAGGCTTAAAAGCTTCAGCACCACCACCCGGACCCATTCTGCCACTCGAATGGTAAGACTTGGAGGTGGTGTGACTTGCCCGTAGTCACACAGCTCCTTGCAGAACCAGGAGGGAAAGCCAGGCTCCAAGCCCCGTTCCCAGCTCAGTCACCTCCACCCGGGAGCAGGAACCCCGCCCAGGAGAGCCGTGTGAGAAGAGGCACAGAGGGAGGAGAACTCCGAACAAACACGATGGTAACAGTTCTGAGCTGAGGCTTCCACACTCACCTCTTCAACGTCCCACGGAAGCACAGAATTAGCAGGAGCCTGGACAGCGCCACATGCCCGGCCTCCCTCCCAGCCGCCTCAGCTGTGTCTCCCATGAGCGCCTTCCTCATCCTCTTACAATGCCGGGTGACAACGTGGCTTGAGAACCTGAATTCTTCCTGTTCCCCCTCTGCTCTCCTGCGCTTGCCACTCCCTCCCCACTCCTCCGCAGCCGCAAGGCGGCCTCCGAACATCCCGTTCACCCTCCGTCCCCTCATCTGCCCCACGTCCACAGCCGGCTGGCTCCCTTATGAACAAGAGGCTCTTCATTCACTTTTGATTCTTGCTCTCGGCCTACAGGGGTTAGTTAAGAAGGACTGGCTTAAGATGCCAGCACAGAGACCCGGTCCTGGGAAGCCAGAGCAGGTGTGCAGAAGCGGGCATGCGTTCCACTCAGGGCATCTGCGGCAACCGGGGCGGACGGTGCCACACACAGATGTGTAAGCTGTGCACTGCTCCATTCCGAGGGCACCACTGAAAAAGACCGAGTGACCAGTAGTGCCCTCCGGAGCTGTGCGAGCAGCACAGGGAGGGGCCGGCGGAACGCAGGTCTGGCCGTGAAAAGATCCAGCCCGTCTCTCGGTGCTTCTGTTAATCGTGACGGCCCCACAGGGTTTCTCCGACTTGAGTGTGCTGCAGAACCTCCTGGCCGCTTACCAAACCCGAGGGCGGCCAGCCCTCCCCTGAAACTCTGATTCCTCAGCTCTCGGGAGGGACTGAGGAATCTGTGTGCTTCGTTTGTTTGTTTGATGTAGAATCTCACTCTGTCGCCCAGGCTGGAGTGCAGTGGCACGATTTCGGCTCATGGCGACCTCCCGGTTCAAGCAATTCTCCCACTTCAGCTTCCTGGGATTACAGGCGCCCACCATCACACCTGGCTCATTTTTGTATTTTTAGTACAGACAGGGCTTCACCATGTTGGCCAGACTGGTCTCGAACTCCCGACCTCAGGTGATCCGCCCACCTCGGCCTCCCAAAGTGCTGAAATTACAGGTGTGAGCCACCGCGCCTGACCCTGCATGTTGTTTTTTAACAACCGGCCTCTTGAGAAACTCTAAACAACAACGTTGAGGCTTAGGAGAATACAGACACTGCAGGTGCTGAGACTGTGTTACCAAGGGGGGTGTTTATACTTCTACGAAATTTAGTCCTTCAAGCTCAGCCCTTTTTATAAAGAATATTATTTCTAAAGACAGTTGATGATGGCACACACGTACAATCCATGATGCAACTGCCTCTATAAACCCGACCCTGGCTGCTCCTTGTCACGGTTTTTAAGCGCATTCAGACAGGCCCCGCAGACACAGCAATGATGTGACTGTTCTGACAGCTTGCGACATGTATGGCCACCGTGTGCGACCTCACAGGAGACCCACATTCTACAGCTCCTCCCTGCCAGCACGGACACACGGCACACACTCGGACACATACCTTGTGCTCCTCCTTCATCACCTGCTCGATGAGTTCGGATTTCACCGGAGGCTTGGAATACTGGCCTGAGAGAAGGCCATGTCCTAACTTAGTCCTGGCCAGGGCACAGAAACAAAACAGAAAGGTCATTGTTGTTCCAGAGCCATATTCAATGTACGGATGAATTTCAACAAGGACAGCTGCCGTCAGGTAGAGCATTTGCTCTGACCACACACAAATAACTGATTTATTTGATTCTGCTTCATACTGATGCCAGTGTCAAATTTTCTTCAATACTTGTTTCTTGGAAAAGTAACACATTCTCATTTTAGAACACTTTTTAAAAAACACATAAAGAATTGCCTTTAATTTTGCAACCCAGAGAAAACCACTGTGAACATTTTATTGGATGCTTTTTCCAAAAAAAATAATAATAATACAAATCTGGCACTTACATCTGTGTGTTGAAATCCTGCGTTGGATCCAAAGGCGAGTAGTCAAATATTCTGGGGAGGTTTCCTACATACCTAGAAATGAGAGGCAATAGTTACACCACAGCAACTGTAAGAACAGGACCGAAACAAGCCATCATTCTTCCCAAGACCACCTTGCCCCTTGGCAAGATTAAACAATCTACCCGAAGAAAAGTTATTCCTGAGATCCCACCTCTACTACCACCCATGCAGCTTCCTGAAATGTTTTTGCTTCTATCAGTGGGTCCCAGCCCTTGTTGTAAGTTAGATTCACCCAAAGAGTTTATTTTAAGTATACCAAAGCCAGAACAACCCCTAGATGTTCCAACTTCATTGCTTGAGAGCGAGGCCTGGGATTTGGGAATTCTTTTAAAAGTTCCCTGAGTGACTCTAGCATGCAGCCAGGGTGAAGAACCACTGGCTAAGCCATCACAATCACCGCCTCAGTGACAGTGGCACAGAGGCCAGGTGCGGTGGCTCACACCTGCAATCCCCGCACTTTGGGAGGCTGACTCAGCAGATCACCTGAGGTCAGGAGTTCGAGACCACCCTGGCCAACATGGCACAACCCCATCTCGAATAAAAAATACAAAAATTAGCCAGGCATGGAGGCACATGCCTGTAATCCCAGCTACTCGGGAGGCTGAGGCAGGAGAGTCACTTGAACCCTGGAGGTGGAGGTTGCAGTGAGCCGAGATGGCGCCCTGCACTCCAGCCTGGGTAAGAGAGCTAGACTGTCAAAAAACAAACAAACAAACAAACAAACGACAACAGTACAGTTAGCAACAAGACCCGACTTAAACCAAGATGCGGGCCAGTTCCTCCGAGCTCTCTGCCTGACCCCCCTTTCTTTGGGCTTCCCCGTCTGTCCTCGTAGATGAGTTTGAGTAAGCACCCTGCTAAGTCAGGTTAGTGAAAATCGCCCATGCTTGCTATCCGTCCAGCCCGGCCTGCTTCAGCAATAAACCCACCAAGTCTGAGGAGCCAGAAACTCCTTTTCCTAGACTTTCCTCTTTGCCGCACCCAACTCCTCAGTTACAAATCCCCACTCGACCGTGTTGGAATCAGAGTTGAGTCCAACGTCTCCCCCAGTCCAAGGCCCTGCCTGATGCTGTGTTCCTATTCCTATGGCCATGGGTCCCACTGAATAAAGTCTGCCTTAGCATCTTTAACAAGTGTTTGGGTAATTTTTTTCTTTAACATTAAAAATTGTTCCAATAATCTCAACATGAATAATAACAGTCATAGCAGCGACAGCTGCCATTTCCTGAAGGGCGTCTGTATTAGCCTGTTGAGTCTTCATTGCAACCACGTGAGGAAGGGATTGTTGTTATCACATCCCCATTTGAGAGGTGGGAAACTGGACTGCAAGTCCGTCAGGCAGCTGCCAAAGCCTCCAGACACCTGAAATCCCAGCGCGTTTAGAGGCCGAGACGGGATGATTGCTGGAACCTAAGAGTTGAGACCAGCCTGGACAACACAGAGACTCCATCTCTACAAAAAACGTTAAAAATCAGCTGGGTGCCATAGGATGTACTGCAGGACCATAGCTGCAGCTACCTGAGAGGCCAGGGTGGGAGGACGGCCTGAGCCCCGGGGGCCAAGGCTGCAGTGAGCCCTGATCGTACCACTGCACTCCAGCCTGGGGTGACAGAGCAAGACCCTGTCTCAAAAAAAAAAAAAGGCTACCAGGGAGGGAGTAACGAGGCCCAGAATGGACCCAAGCAGCCTGGCACCAGGCCATGCTCAGAACCGCTCTGCTGGCTGTGCCCACTGTCCATGGCCCCAGAGCGGCCTGCAATCCCTCCTGGCAGAGCAGTGCTAGCTCTAACACTGACCTCCAATCATCACACACAGTCACTCCTTTCACTTCTTCAATTCACTTCTGATTTCACACCCTCTACTCTGTGTGGTTCTTTCCCTGCTGTCTTCAACCTCTAGCCTGGAAGCTCTAGGAAGAGGAATCCGAAAGCCGACCCCTTTCTCCGACCCTCACTGCCCCCTCCCCCAACTTCTCTGGCCTCCTCTGCCACCATGTCCCCCCAGCCCACAGCAGCCCGCCACCTGTCCCTCCCGCTGCCCCAGCGCGTGACAAACTTGCTCGTGTCTCAAGGTCATGCCTTCTGCGGCTTCTCTCCTGGGATGCTGTCTCAGAGATCCTTGCTCAGCAGCTCCTTCCCAAGTCTGTTGACAAGCCGCCTCCCCAGACCCTTAGACAAAGCAGGAGGGGCCACGCTCACCCTCCTGACCTCCTGCCATCTGCTCCTGACTGGCTCTCTTCTTAGCACGCATCGCTGCCTGCAGTTTTATCACCTACTCGTGATATGGTGTGGCTGCAGCTCCACCCAAATCTCATCCTATAATTCTCAAGTGCGGTGGGAGGGACCTGGCGGGAGATGAGCGAGGTCTTCCCGTGCTGTTCTCGTGACAGTGAGTAACTCCCACGAGATCTGACGGTTTATAACGGGGAGTTCCCCTGCACAAGCTCTTGCCTGCCACCATGCAAGGTGCAACTTTGCTCCTCGTGTGCCCTCTGCCATGACTGTGAGGCTTCCCCATCCATGTGGAACTGTGGGTCAATTAAACGTCTTTCCTTTATAAATTAACGGTCTTGCGTACGTCTTTATTAGCAGTGTGAGAATGGACAGATACATCTTGTTTAGTATCTGTCTGTCCAGAGATTATACACTAGAACGTAATCTCATGAAGGCAGCAACTTCATCTACATCACTGCATCTCCAGCACTAGAACAGCACCTGCCATGTAAAAGACACTCTAAGTATTTGTTGACTGAATACGTTTATGTCACACAATCACACAACTAACTTCCATAACTGAATACCGATAACCAAACAGAAAAAGCATTACTGCAGTTAAGCCCCAGCAAAGAACAATGACACAGTATTAGTTGGCAATGACCTCTAACTACTAGAAACTTCCAGGTACCTGCTGTCCGCGAACTCAGAAGTTGTAGCTCAGGCAATGTACCTACATCAAAATTAACAGAGCAGGCTTCTCGGGGCCAGTGCCATTCAAAGGACAAACACAACAGAAGCCAAACTTCAGACCTAAACGATTTAGATGCAGGGGCTCCACTGATGAATCCCAACCATCCACAACATGATGAACTCGGGCCGGTGCTCTCTTCTGATCCTGTTTTAGTCACATCTCAAAACCTGACAAGACAAAAACCTCCCTGGAAAGGTGCACACTAATGAACAGGCTGATGTTTTAAGGCAAGACAGAAAGAAGAGAAGAGGTAAAGAGAATAAACCTTTTTGTTCTTTGAGACACCTTCTCACTCCCTCACCCAGGCTGGAGTGCAATGGCGCGATCTCAGCTCACTGCAACCTCTGCCTCCCGGGTTCAAGCAATTCTCCTGCCTCAGCCTCCCGAGTAGCTGGGATTACAGGTGCCCACCACCACGCCTGGCTAATTTTTTAGTAGAGATAGGGTTTCACCATGTTGGCCAGGCTGGTCTTGAATTCCTGACCTCAAGTGATCCACCCACCTCAGCCTCCCAAAGTGCTGGGATTACAGGCGGGAGCCGCCGTGCCTGGCTGACAATTAACTTTTGATGTCACAAAAGTCCACTTTGCTGGCACCTGAGGTCAGGGAGAAAAAGAGAGAAGTCCATTTTGCTATCACTATACATCCCTTTTCTAACTGATTAATAAAATCTTCCATTACAACAAAATTAAATTAAAAGGCAGAAGCCATGCTAGATAATTTTCATAGATGTTATACCTTCTGTCTGTAATCTAGCAATTCTTAAAAGGATGTTGTTACGCTATCTATCAATCCACCTCAGTTGTCATTCCATTGGTATAACAGCTTATTTAGATTTGATCCTCAATGAAAAGGATTCTGAAATGTAAACTAGGCTTAAGGAGCAGACAGGGCCCTGAGGATCAGGCCGAGTTCCCAATCACACTACAACTGTGCATGAGCCACTCAATCTTTCTGAGTCATTTTTCTTTTCTTTCCTTTTTACTTTTCTTTAATTTTCTTCTTCTTATTTATTTCTTGAGATAGAATCTCACTCTATCGCCCGGGCTGGAGTACAGTGGTGCGATCTCAGCTTCCTGCAACCTCTGCCTTCAAGCAATTCTCCTGCCTCAGCCTCCCAAATAGCTGGGATTGCTGGCGCCCACCATCACAGCTGGCTAATTTTTGTCTTTTCAGTTGAGATGGGGTTTCATGATGTTGGTCAGGCTGGTCTTGAACTTCTGACTTCAGGTGATCCACCCACCTTGGCCTCCCAAAGTGCTGGGATGACAGGTGTGAGCCACCGCACCCAGCCAACATATCTTTTTCATTAAAGAAAAACCCAGGGAGTTAACTCTGGGTCAAACTTTGAAGCGTAGGGTGAATTTTTTTACACTGCAGATTGTAAAGCACTAAGAGTGGTGTCCGGTTTCATAACAGAAGAGCACAAGTTTCTTTCATTCTAGCTTAAAAGAAACAATAATTACACTACTGCTACCAGAGGACAGTCCTTCAACAGTTTCAAAAAGGATCTTGGAGCATAAGTCATGGAAGATGGAGCTATGCTGCTCCCCAGTCAAATGATAACACAGGTGTGAGACGTGGGCGAAAATTCATACAAATCGCAGGGCTTCCTCTCTGAGCTTCCACCTCGCCCTGGCCAAAGCCGGCGCCTGCTCTCCTCCTGCACAGCATCAGGGCGTTCCCCTCCCTCACGGCCTCATCTGACCACCTCCCTCCTTTCTCCTTCGTGGAACATCCCTCGTCTGTGAGCCTGCAGTCGTTCCGATGACTCTTTTCTTGATGCCATTTCTCCTCTTACCTCCTGCCTGGGGATGAGGACCATGTCCTTCCATTCACCACCCACTCCACACACTTGGCACATTGCTTAGCAGAAAAGAGCTCACTCTCTATTGGCTGGATGAAAAAATGGACCATGAATTTTCAAAGCGAGAAAACAGCACGAAGAGGTAAGTCTCCAAACACCAAGAGAGGAAAGAGGAGGGTATGTGACGTACTTTGGGTCAGCCTCCACTAAAGCCATGAGGATTTCAACTCCACGTGGGTGAAGCAAGAGCCTGGACTGTTCCTAAATGTTGTCTGCCTGTCTGAGCCCACACATGCCCTGGTCCACACTTAAACCACGAAGGAAACCTACCTCTGGAACACGCCAGGGTGACTGTCTGCCCTGAGGCAGTGGCTGCCCAACATGACCAGGCCCAGCCCCCGGCTCTACAGCCCCCCACCCTCAGTACGACCCGAGGGAGAAGAGAGCCAGCCACAGACACTGCTGCTGAGCCCCTCGGCGTGGGAAGGGAAGGCAGTCTTCCATGGGCGCGGTCAGCGCTCCCAAATTACTGTGGTAAAGGGTCAGCTGTTTTGTTTATTTCAACTCAGATGACACCTTTTAAAAACACAGTTAGTGAGGATGGTTAATGGGGACAAAAGTATAATTAGAGTTAACAAGATCTAATATTTGACGGCACGACAGGATGACTAATTTGTTGTGTATTTTAAAATAACTAAAAGTAAAATTGGAATGTTCCTAATACAAAGAAATGATAAATGCTTAAGGTGATGGACACCCCAATTACCCCAATTAATGTGGTATTACATATTGCATACCTGCATCATCATATCACATATACCCCATAAATGTATACACCTGCTATGTACCCATAATAATTAAAAATAAAAAACCTGGCAGATGCAATGGCTCATGCCTGTAATCATAGCACTTTGGGAGGCTGAGGAGGGTGGATCACGAGGTCAAGAGACAGAGACCACCCTGGTCAACATGGTGAAACCCCGTCTCTACTGAAAAAATACAAAAATTAGCCGAGCGCGGTGGCGCACACCTGTAGTCCCAGCTACTCGAGAGGCTGAGGCAGAAGAATCACTTGAACCCAGGAGGCGGAGGCTGCAGTGAGCTGAGATGGAGCCATGGCACTCCAGCCTAGTGACAGAGCGAGACTCTGTCTCAAAAAAAAATAAAAAAAACTGAGTAGTTAAAAAATACAATTAAAAGAAATTATTAGAAAAGTGAAATGCCAATTGTAAGACACAACAGCAATGTCAAATTGTCACGACGGTGTCCCCACGTCACTCCCCATGTCCGAGCTTACACCGGCAGCACAAGGCCCAGTACCAGCTGATGAGCCACAGTTTGAGGAGCCGGCAGTGGAAGTCCTGACCCCTGAGGACACTCCAGCCCACCACAAGAGAGGCACTAACCAGACCAGTCACGGGGTCGCCCCAGCGCATCTGCAGGAGGGAACTGGCAGATCGGTTAATGGCCAATGTATTCTTGGTACGTAGGGCGATGGTCAAAAAGCAGAAACCGTTATTAATCACAAAGCCCTGTACGGTGTTTCTCAGTTCACAAAGCTCTTATCTCACCTGATCCCCATAACACTCGACAGGTGTTCTCACCCAGTCTCTGCAGAAGGTGGGCCTTAGGAAAGGTGGCAAAAGGTCCTGAAGCCATAAAGATGGGCTTTCCAGTGTACCGAGCGGGCTGGACGGAGAGGGGCAGGGTGGGGCTGCCAGGCCAGGGCCGCGTGGGGGGCACGTATGCCCTCTGGACCTCCGGGATGCATGCCCGGGGCCGCGTGGGGGACACTTACGCTCTCTGGAACTCCGGGATGCTGAAGACGGCCTGCATCACGGAGCTCAGGTAGCAGCTGTTGCCCAGGTTCTTCAGCCCCGTGTAGCCCGGACCATACATGGGCTTCAGCTTCATGCCCGACTCCTGGATCACCTCCCACTCACTGACCCTCGGCTTGATCTCATTGTCCTGGAGCCCATTCTCTGTCTGAGACAAAGTCGTCAACAAGAAACAACCTTCAATGTGATTCCCGTTCAAAGGTCATGTCCCATTAATTATTTCTAATAACATAGGATGTTTCTGCCATTTTTTTCCATTACATAGAGAAATAAACAATGTAAATAAAAAAGGCTGAGAGACGGTGATGGTGGCATAACAGTGAATGTACATCATGCCAGGAACGCCGTGCTTAGAAACGGTTAAAATGGTAGGCTTTAGACTATATATATTTTACCACAATTTTAAAAAATACATGAAAAAGATTTTAAAGAGAGGCTGGGCACAGTGGCTCATACCTGTAATCCCAGCACTTTGGGAGGCTGAGGCAGGCAGATCACCTGAGGTCAAGAGTTTGAGACCAGCCTGGCCAACATGGTGAAACCCCGTCTCTACTAAAAATACAAACATTAGCTGGGCATGGTGGCGCGTGCCTGTAGTCCCAGCTACTCGAGAGACTGAGGCAGGAGAATCACTTGAACCCAGGAGGCGGAGGTTGCAGTGAGCTGAAATTGTGCCACTGCGCTGCAGCCTGGGTGACAAGAATGAAACTCTGTCTCAAAAAAAAAAAAAAAAACAGATTTTAAAGAGAGAAAGACTGAAAGGGAAAGAGATAAGAGGAGGATGAAGAACAAATAGGAGTCAGAAAAGAAGCAAGTAGACTAAATTCAAGGGAGTATTCAATGCAGCACAGCAAAGGAAAAGGCCAGGCAGCCGGAGAGGATATGGAATAGAACCATGAGCCTTGAGAGTGCCTTGAAGAGGAGGGAGGTGTGAGGAAGGCAGAGACAAGCAGCAGTGAGTAACAAAGTGGAGACAAAGGACAGGAAGGTGAGGAGAGGGAGGCGGCCGGGAAGGGGAGGGCTACACGAATCCACGTTTAACTCCTTAAAGGGAAACGATCCCACAGTCACGACATCTATTCAAAAACACAACGTGAAAGGAAGCAGCGCTTCCCCGCCAACAGTCATGTGCTGGTTTATTCACTGTCCCTAGCAGCCTTGCTTCCCTTCCTGAAATTAATTAAAGCGATGTTGGTCACAGATCATTTTAAAGGTCACCTCCCCATACCATCTGCCTTTGTGAACAATGAATGATTCACGCAACTGCCCATCAAAGGAGGCTGATTTTGCAAGTAAACTCCAACTCAAGCAAAAGAAAACACCTCTTCATTAAATGCAAGAAGGAAATGCAACAACTGAAAGCTACAACCTGTAAAGTGAAGACCCCTGTTAGAGGAGTTATATAGGAAATAAACCAAGCAGCTCCCGCGTCCTTCCCCACCTCCACTCCATGCACGGTGGAAACAGAAACACAGAAGGCCTCACCCCATGCATGTGGAGCATGTCGATTCCAAAATGCGCCAAGTGCTTGGCCAGATGAGGGTCCAAAACAGCCTCCTCTTCTTGAAAAGAATAAACGTCTAGTGGGCGAAGGGAAAAGAGGCAGCGGTCAGTCACCAAGTCACTGAACAGCCGACAGGGATTCTGGACCCCCACCATCCACCAGCTCTGGGCTACGTCACTGAACAAAACGAAACCTTTCTGACATGCGACAAGGGGAAAGATAAATGATAATAATATGGAGGCATTTTTTGTAAATATACCCATACATCAGTTCTGTTGACATTTTGGAAAGTTTTTTTTAAGTTTCTAAAACAAGAAAAGAAAAAAAAAGAGAACAGTATCTAAAGTTAAAAGGTATGTAAACATAAATGCCTACCACTCACATTTCTAACCAGAACCACAGGGGCATAACTCTGAGCTCAGAAAGAGGGCTGGGTGCCGGAGGAGGGAGTGACGGCCATCCACCGACGGCGGGGGGACCTCGGGGGGACAGAGAGGACACACAGGCCCTCGGGCAGCTTGCTCCATCCAAGACAAAACAAAATTCTGCCCGTGAACCCTCTAGGTCCTCAAACCTACCCCTCACGCCTCCACCTCCCACCTGCGCCAGCACCCCTTCCTCCTGCCTGCCTGTCCACTCCTCAGAGCCAGCGAGAGGGCTGTGAGCACGGTGGCAACTCCCGAGTGGTTCACCTCGGAGCACACACAGAAAATGGCCACACTTGGTATTCCAGGGATACTGAGGACTCAGCCGTCCCCGCCCGGCCCTGCTGCCCCAGGGGTCCACATCCCAGCAGGCTGAGAGACACCAGCGTTGGTAAGCTCTGTGCTGAGGCGGGAGGCCTCTTTCCCAGGATACTAATATCCCACCTGACAACAGGAGGCTTCTGACCGAGCCTGTCATGGGCTCCAAGCAGCAGCCTCACCTGGGAGCTCACTGGAAAGGCAGAATCTTGGGTCCTGCCCAAGGCCGACTGAGTGAGAATCTGCATTTTTAACAAGCTCTCCGAGTGCACAGTGAGGTTAGAGGACTGTTCAGTTTTCCAAAACCATGCAATGTGCTGCCCTATCCGTCCTCACACACAGTGTGGCAACAAAGACAGAACAGACATTTCCAAGCCCGTCTTCAGATAAGGAAAAGAGGCTCCTGAAGGGTAAGTGATTTCTGCCTTAAATCCTACAGGTGGCCCAGAACCCAGCTAGTCTGACTCCTGACCCAGTCTTCTTCCCTCTACAGCAGAATATTTCTATCTGTGCAGTACACAGTGTATCAGAACACCAGGCAGGTGCAGTGGCTCACATCTGTAATCCCAGCACTTCGGGAGACCAGAGCAGGAGGGCCGCTGGAGGCAGGAGTTTGAGGCCACAGTGAGCTGTGATGATGCCACTGCACTCTAGCCTGGGGGACAGAGAGGGGCCCTGTCTCTAAAAAAAAAACAGGGGGGAAAAAAGAGTCTTTCTAAAGAAGGAAGAAAAGAAAAAAATATATATATGTATCAGAACAGGACACCAACAGACTCGGTGAAGAAGCCCCCGAGGCCCTCAAAAGGAATGAAGCCTCAGCACCCACAGTTTCCTCACTCTCAGATTTGAAAACCAAAATCTCTAACAAGGAAAAAGGATCTGAAGATAACATTCTTCTTACACAGTCAGACAGTGTAAGACTGACTGTCCAGAGTTCCCCATGCCTTGGAACATCACCCGGGGAAGAAAAGGAACACACAGAAGCTGTGGTGACCTTCTGTCCCACCCCCAGACACATGAAGACTCACTGCCCTATGCTCCCAAAGACATTCAGTCTTTCCGTTACTACTAAGGGAAACGTTGCATGGCCTTCTTCTCTACTCCTCTCCCTCTAGGGGCCTGTTATAACTGTGGATAGCAGCCCTCATTTATACTTTTTAAATATAATTCAGTGTTCCCAAAAGCAAAACAAAAGCCAAAATCTCAGCCCAATTAAGAAGAAAATTTCCCAAAAAATTAGATATTAATAAAACAAGCAAAAACCTTTGAACTAGTAACTTGAAACAAATACATCGACAGTATTTTTAATCTATGACAGGGGACCAAAAAGTTCCACTTGAATACTAGCCGGAAGGTGCAAATGGCACTCCCTGGGCACCTTACTTTAGGGAGATGGTTTGAAGACTTCAGCCTTTCAGCCCCTAATGACCAGAGCTGTCTTCGAAAATAATAAAACTGCTGCACGTGAACAAGCGGCATTGGCCTGGGATTTTGAAATCAGTGAGAACCACGCAGCCCCTCACCGTTTGTGACGCATCAGGCTCTGGCGGCACCGAGATCACATTTCACACCTCCTATCACTAACTGCTCCAAAGATACAACCTGATCTGGTCAAACGCTGTAGCTATTTCTGATCCCACAGACAAAAGCAGTTTAGTGAGTAACACACAAGAAACCTGAAAATGAACTGTGACGGTCAAACTTGGTCATCGTGAAGCATTTATAAATATGCAGTCAGAGAAAGGAGTCTCCAGTGGCCTCCGTGGCTGGATACGCTGCGTGGCATGTTCTTCACCAGGAAGCTCATTTGATTCCCAACCTCACCTCAGCAAAGGCAGGTCTTAGCGCAGAAACCACGGCAGTAACCAGGCAACCGCTGGCAGGAATCACCCTTCACGTTCCCCAGCGTGGCCTAAAACTTGAAGCCAAGACCACGGTCAGGAAGTTCACAGAGGGATGCTCCGAGGAAGCCCGAGCAGCGCCTCGTGGGTAACTGCGTTCAATTTAGAGGTAAACCTGCCATCGTTTCGTTTCAAGTTAAGTGACAAACTAAACCAGGAAGAGCGTGAGGCAGCAATCCGGCAGAAGAAAAAGGATTTTTAAAAAAATGTTTGAACAAGAATATCGCATTTGTGTGATAAGCCTGCTACAAAACAGTGTCTGCAGTCAGCTTAAAGGTTCATCAAGGATAAAATAAAAATTTTTTAAAGATTAATTAAGGAAAACTTAAGAGAGCAGAGACAGAGCAAGACGAACCAGGAGCAAGGCTGAGAATCTCTAAGAAACCAGATCAACGTGGTGATAATCATTTGTAATCTCTGAATGGGAAGATTTCTTTTCTCTCTCTTCTGCTTTGTCTAAATGTATTACATTCTGTTGGAAAAAAATGTTTTCTAAGTAACTCCCAGAGATGAACATGACGCTAATGAATGGTACACTGTTAGGACTAGCGTGCCTGGCATGGGTCCTCCTTGCCAGCTACCAGGATTAACTCATGCGTTCATCATGGTCAGCAGCTATTCACTGAATGCCAAATACATACGTAGCCTGAGGAGATCATGTTAAATAAGTCTCTTCCCTCATAAGTTTAACGTTTAATATTTCAAATAGTCTTACAAGACATGCTGGTTTGGTGTGAAGGATCGCATGGTTTAGTCACGTTACTTAATGCCCTTTCCTAGGGCCTCAGAAAACGGCAGGAATTCAGATTCTCCCTCTAGATTCCCCTACAGGAAAGTAGACGGGAGAGGAGGTAAAGATGTACTTCAACAAGTCCTTGTGTTAAAACCGCGGTGACTCACACCTGTAATCCCAGCACTTTGGGAGGCCGAGGTGGGTGGATCACCTGAGGTCAGGAGTTCGAGACCAGCCTAACCAATACGGTGAAAGCCCATCTCCATTAAAAATATAAAAATTAGCCGGGTGTGGTGAAACCTGCCTATAATCCCAACTATTCGGGAGGCTGAGGCAGGATAATCACTTAAGCCTGGGAGGCGGAGGAAGCAGTGAGCCGAGATCGTGCCACTGCACTCCAGCCTGGGCGACAGAGTGAGACTGTCTCAAAAAATAAAAAAAAATAAAAAAATAACTAGGGAAGCCAGCTTTGGTGACCTTCTCTCACAAGTGGAAAGAAAGCCAAGCTCCTGGTCGAACACCAAGTGGCACAGGAGAGATGAGAGGCTGCAGCAAGGTCCTCCTCGGAGTCGGTGCAGCTCTGCTCACCCCAACTCCACGTCTCCACCAGCACATGTGTGTGCCTCTGAGCCATCTGCCACAGACAGGAAATAAGAAACACAGGACAACTCCACAACTACACTAGAAAAATAAACGCAAAACACATTAGGCCAGCAGGAAGGATCTCTTTAAAGAGAGAGCAGGCTGTAATCCCAGGACTTCTAGAGGCCGAGGCAGGAGGAGAGCTTGAACCCAGGAGTTGGAGACCAGCCTGGGCAACACAGTGAGACCCTGTCTCAGTTTAAAAAAAGAGAGAGAAGGAGAACAGGGCCAGGCACAGTGGCTCACACCTAACATCCCAGCACTCTGGGAGGCCAAGGCAGGAGGATCATTTGAGCCCAGGAGTTCAAGGCCAGCCTGGGAAACACGGTAAGACTCCATTTCTACAAAAAATGAAAAAAAAACAAAATCACTGAGTATGGGTGTGGTGGCAAGCATCTGTGCTCCCCGCACTTGGGAGGCTGAGCTCAGAGGCTCCCTTGAGCCCAGGAGGTCAAGGCTGCAGTGAGCCATGACTGCACCACTGCTCTCCAGCCTGGACAACAGAGTGAGACCCTGCCTCAAAAAAAGGAAAAGAAAAAGAGAGAGAGTGAGTGAGAGCCAGTGACGACCGCCAGGACGCACAAAGCCGAGACTGCAGGCAGGAAAAGGAAAACAGGTAGGAGTAAAAAGGTGTCAATGAAACAGAAAAACGAAAAGAAAGACAGTAAATCAGAGAAGCCAACATTCTCTTCCTTTTGTTAATATTTGAGACAGGGTCTCACTGTGCTGCCCAGGCTGGCCTCAAACTCCTGGCCCGAGCCATCATCAAAACACAGCCTCCCAAACAGAAGCAGATTTTGTTGGTGTGTTTTCCCCCATGTGTTTGTTCCATAATATTTGCTGAGCACCTACTATGTGTGACGGACACTAACAGATGGTAGATATAACAGCACCCAAGAAATGCAGCATTAGGCCCTGCTGTCCTGGGTGGCCACCATCCAATAAACTGTTACAGGGTCTCGGGAAAAGTACCCTGAGGAAGGAGCACGAAGGACCACAGGGGAACACAGGAGGGGACCAGACCAGGCCAGAGCTAAGATGAAGGACTCCATGCCCCGATTCCACACCTGGGCTGGGGACACTCCAGGGACTAAGATGAAGCACTCCATGCCCCGATTACACACCTGGGCTGGGGACACTCCAGGGACTAAGATGAAGTACTCCATGCCCCGATTACACACCTGGGCTGGGGACACTCCAGGGACTAACATGAAGTACTCCATGCCCCAATTACACACCTGGGCTGGGGACACTCAAGGGACTAAGACGAAGTAATCCATGCCCCGATTACACACCTGGGCTGGGGACACTCCAGGGACTAAGATTAAGTACTCCATGCCCCGATTACACACCTGGGGCTGGGGACACTCCAGGAAACTCAAGGAACTAAGATGAAGTACTCCATGTCCCGATTCCACACCTGGGCTGGGGACACTCAAGGGAGCTTATGGCCAGGTCAGGGGTATGCAAAACCCAAGAAGAAAGAGCACCCTGACGTGCTGGCACAGCCAATGGAATAGGCAATTTCACAGCTGTCTTGGGCACCTTAGGAAGACTCTCCTGCAATCACCCAATTCGCCAAAGCGTCTTCTGGGCAAACTGGTTTCCTGATAGAAAAAAAAACACACCCTGTCCTGCCTCCATCCCGCCCTCCCCTTTCTGCCAAGAACCTCATCCTTGCCTCACCAAAACCATGTGTCCTCCCCAGTGGAAAGCTTTTTGTTTGCTTGTGTAGCGAACTGCTTCTCGTTTGTTTGTGGCTGTACCCATGGGGACCCGGAGTAGAATTTCATACGGGGCCCGTTCTTCCTGCGCACGCCACACTCTGGCCTAGACTGAGGGACCAGGGCTGCTTTGAAACACTAAATCTAAGTTGAGACCCCAAGGATGAGGAGCAGTGTCTCAGTGGACAAACATATCCTTATCTGGGGAAAGGAAATCAGGGTCCTCAGATCACACTACCATTAAATACTTGAGTCCAAACCTTCTTGGATTCCACATTCACCAGGCAATCTTCTAAATATAACTCCACTTCCCACGGGAAGGAATGCACTGGTCAAGCGACATCGACTCCTACTTAGTGGCATTGTGGTTCTCACTCTGAACTGAAAAACAAACACTCTGACTTTGAGACTTTGTCTCCCGTGTGCTGAACTGGCCTGCGTGACCCCAGCGCGTGTGGATGATCAATCCATCAGTCATGGAACCTCCACCAGGAGACGGCTGCCCCAGACAGAGGGCACCCTACCCCCGGGCCTCAGTGTCCACAGGACTCATCATAAGACAGTTAAGAAAACTTTATGCAGGTTTTTAAAAATTTATGTGGCTTTTAAATAAACAGTAAGTTACAGCTAGCAATCTATTAAACAGACTTAAAGGAAACCAAAATAGAATGTATACATCCCATAAACTAATATGAAATTACCATTAGGCAGAAAATAATCACTTTTATTAAAACCAACTCTGCACAACATATGCAGGAGTCGAAGCCTGACCTTTTTCAGTCAACATCACTTGAGCGAAATGAATTCACAACCCTTATCACGGTGTGTGTGATCTGCATTGCCAATGCCAATGTTTTATACTTTCTGTGGTTGACAAGGAAGTATGTATTCAAACACCGTCAATTCTATGACAAGAAAAAGCTTAAAGGTTCTTTCTTCTTCACAAAACAACAAGTATGGAAGATAATTCTTAATCATCAAAGAGTTCTTAAAAAACAACTTTTGGCCGGGCGCGGTGGCTCAAGCCTGTAATCCCAGCACTTTGGGAGGCCGAGGCGGGTGGATCACGAGGTCGAGAGATCGAGACCATCCTGGTCAACATAGTGAAACCCCGTCTCTACTAAAAATACAAAAAATTAGCTGGGCATGGTGGCACGTGCCTGTAATCCCAGCTACTCAGGAGGCTGAGGCAGGAGAATTGCCTGAACCCAGGAGGCGGAGGTTGCGGTGAGCCAAGATCGCGCCATTGCACTCCAGCCTGGGTAACAAGAGCGAAACTGCGTCTCAAAAAAAAAAAAAAAAAAAACTTTTAAAAACCTAAACCTACAAGAAAATTGGCCTAAGAAACTCGCAAAAAAGAACTACAAATGGCCAAGAATACTAAGAAAAATATTCAACCTCACTAGTAATGCAAATTAAAACAAGATACCAGATTAGCAAAGGTTATTTTTTTTAAGTCTTAATACAAAAAGTTGTCAAGGATTTGTTGAAATGGATACTGTCACATACTGCTGATGAGAATGGAAATTATTACAACTGTTTAAAAGAGAATCTTGACAACTGAAAATTTTGAAGATTCAACTCTTCGTCATAGAAATTTATTCTAAATGAATAACTAGAAAAACACAAAAATTTGCATATATTCAAGGATGTTCATCAGAATAGAAAAAAAATTGTAACACTCACTGAATAGTGAAATAATTTATGAAACCATCATAAAATACTGAAGAATATTTAATAACATAGACAAACATGATGTTAAATAGAAAAAATAAGTAATAAAACTTTCTACAGTATGATCCAATTTTTGTAAAAATGTGAGGTGGATGTGTGTGTGTACATGTGTGAACTGATTAACCTTTTAAAAAAAAACTGAAGTGAAATATCTACATTACTAACAGTGACTAGTCTAGAGGGTGGTATTACTACTAGTTTGTATTAATTCATCTAAACTTTCATCTCTGTTTTCTACAGATGTTACACTGAGTATCTGTCTGTTGCATAATCAAGATGAAAATATAAAACTTTCCTGGCTGGGCGCAATGGCTTACACCTGCAATGCCAGCACTTTGGGAGGCCGAGGCTGGCAGATCACCTGAAGTCGGGAGTTCGAGACCAGCCTGGTCAACGTGGTGAAACCCCACCTCCACTAAAAATACAAAAATTAGCCAGGTGTGGTGGCGGGTGCCTGTAATCCCAGCTACTCGGGAGGCTGAGGCAGGAGAATCGCTTGAACCTGGGAGGCAGAGGTTGCAGTGAGCCGAGATCACGCCACCACATTCCAGCGTGAGCGGCAGAGCGAGACTGTCTCAAAAAAAAAAAACTGTACAGCTGTGTAATGTATTTGTGTTTTAAGTTAAGTGCTACTACAAAAATGTCCAAAAGTTAAAAAGATTAAGTTTATAAAGTAAAAACATTACAGCAAGAGGTGAATTTATTATTCATAAATGTAGTGTCGCCACGTGTAAGGTGACTCTGCAGGACCGAACACCAAATTCACTCCCCACTCACACGGAGCCGCTGCAGCGCTGCACTCCGCTCACAGAAAGCGCCCTGTGCAGGGGAGCATTTTCCACGTCATACCGTATTGCTGCTGCAGCGTTGCCAGGCTTCGTCATGTCCAGCTATACAAACGCTTACCACTGCGTTCACACAGCCGTCAGCACAGGGCCGTGCGGGACAGGTTTGCAGCTGAGGAGCAACAGGCTGCCTCGTAGAGCCTGGTTGTGAAGGAGGCTATGCCATCTGAGTCTGTCCACGTATACTCAGCGACGTTCACACAAGGAAATCACCTAATGATGCCTTCTCAGAATATACCACCATCCTGGGCTGTCTCAACCCAGAGCCTACACCCTCCAACCACCCGGATTCGGGGACTGGTTAAACCTGAGGAAGCCAGTGCGTGTCCTCAAGTCAGCAAAGGCACACTCACCTGCCCCATCAGGAGTGATGGTTCCCAGTTTCACGGCTAGCGGGTAGCCCATGTCTCTGTAATGCTCCAGCGCGTGCCCATTGCCCCCAGAGCTGTCAAAGAACCACTTCCCGCACAGGACAGAGCCGTCAGTCAGATTTAGCCACAGGTTTTCTCGCAGGTCGCATCTGGCACACTTCCAACCACTGCAAAGACATCAGAGAGCGATCAGAACAGCCAGAGAGCGTCGTTTAAACATTCACATCTGAGACAACAGCGCATTTCCAGCAGGCAGGTCACAGCAGAGGCGCGGCGGAGTCACAGACACTGGTACTTCCCATGTTCTCCCCTTAAAACACTGTTGGCCAGATGTGGCGGCTCACGCCTGTAATCTCAACACTTCGGGAGGCTGAGGCAGGCAGATCACCTGAGGTCAGGAGTTCGAGACCAGCCTGGACAACAAGGCGAAACCCTGTCTCGATTAAAAATACAAACAAGGCCGGGCGCGGTGGCTCACGCCTGTAATCCCAGCACTTTGGGAGGCCGAGGCGGGTGGATCACGAGGTCGAGAGATCGAGACCATCCTGGTCAACATGGTGAAACCCCGTCTCTACTAAAAATACAAAAAATTAGCTGGGCATGGTGGCACGTGCCTGTAATCCCAGCTACTCAGGAGGCTGAGGCAGGAGAATTGCCTGAACCCAGGAGGCGGAGGTTGCGGTGAGCCGAGATCGCGCCATTGCACTCCAGCCTGGGTAACAAGAGCGAAACTCCGTCTCAAAAAAAAAAAAAACAAAAAAAAAAAAATACAAACAATAGCCAGGCATGGTGGCATGCACCCGTAATCCCAGCTACTAAGGAAGCTGAGGCAGAGAGAACTGCTTGAACCCGAGAGGTGGAGGTTGCAGTGAGCTGAGATCGTGCCGCTGCACTCCAGCCTGGGAGACAGAGCAAGACTCCGTCTCTGAAAAAAAAAGAAATTGTTTCTCCCCCAGGGTAGCAGGATGACTCAGCACCCTGCCCGCTACCCAGAGGTGGGCTAGCCCCTCCAGCAGCTCTGAGGGGCCTTTACTTTCTAAAACTGACACACAGTTGGGGTTAGGACAGGAGCCCATTTCCTTGCAGCTCCTCCATGAGACAGAGGAGCTTGACCAAGTTTAAAATATTAAGGATCCTGTGTGTATAAATGGCTAGAGTCCTGAAGCATTAATCACATGGACTACAGCTAGTTTATACAAAAGCTCCACTGCAAATCTAAATTAGTTAGAAAGGAAGCCAATCTGACTAAACGCTAAATGCCTACCATGTGCCAAGCACCTTCCAGAAGTCTCATCATTTAATCCTAATAAACACCTTTCGGCATCACTGTTGTTACAAACGGAGAAACGGAGGCCCTCGTTTCCTGAGACCACACAGCAGGTGAACACAGTGCACCTGTCAGGACTCAACCACATCAGACACATTCCCAATCCATCTGCCTCTGTAACCACACCGGCACCTCGTGAGAGGAGACGTGAATGGAGCCCAAAGGCTGTTCCAGCCAAAATGTGACAGCCAAGGACTTGTGAGTTGGAGTCCCCTAAAACAAGACTCTGAGACAAAGCGGGGAAGGAAAATGGCTTGTCTGGGAGGTGATCCCAAGGAAGAGGCGAAGACACAAGAACGGGCCGGAGCTGCTGCGGGACATGTCAGTGAGCCAGGGTACGCTCACCGACAGCCTGTTGTCAGCTGTGGGTTGTGGCCAGCCTGTGGGCAGCTGGGCTCAGGCCATGCGGGGAACTGCAGGAGACAGGTATCCCACTTGGAGGGGCAGGAAAATGGGGTATTACTCCACCCACACCACAGCCACTGCCCCAGGAGGAGGGAGGAAGCTTCGCTCCGGTGTTTCCGACTGTCCCAGGCGCCAGCCATATTGGCTTCAGCAAGCAGAAAAAGCGCTCAAGCCAAGGGTCACAAGTGCTTGCAACTGGCAGCTTCAGGACAGGGAAGGGCTGGGGGTATGGGATGGGCACATTCAGCATCTCTATAAAGACACAGACAATTTCAGAGAGAAGTTTTACATTTACTTTCAATAAAAGGCATCTGGGCTGGGCACAGTGGCTCACACCTGTCATCTCAGCACTTTGGGAGGCCGAGGCAGGCAGATCCCCTGAGGTCAGGAGTTCGAGACCAGTCTGACCAACATGGAGAAACCCTGTCTCTACTAAAAACACAAAATTAGCTGGTGGGGGTGGCGGCACATGCCTGTAATCCCAGCTACTTGGGAGACTGAGGCGGGAGAATCACTTGAACCCAGGAGGCGGAGGTTGTGGTGAGCTGGGATCACACCATTGCACTCCAGCCTGGGCAACAAGAGTGAAACTCCGTCTCAAAAATAAAAATAAAAGGCATCTGGTAGAAAAAAATATAACTGCCAATTCAAAAAAGAGAAAACAAATATTCATTTGGCCAGTTTTAGGGGAGTGAAGTTCCATTCTGCGACTCGACTCTCACCTTGGAGGAATCCTGACTCCGTTGTCCAGCTGCGTGAGGTTGTTGGCGTACTTAGACACCGGCAGTTCATTTTCCCATGTGTCTGGGTCCTGCTTTCTGTACGGAGATTTTGAGCTGAGAACAGCATCGCAAGCGATGGTTACCTGTAAGACAAACCCAGGTGTGATACAAAAAAACATCTGGCAGAATAACAATTTGCTAGTGAATAGCAAATCCACTAGAACGTTAGTTTAAAACTGAAGAAATGCACTGGGCATGGCTGTCACAGGAGCGAGAGCCAGCTGTCCTGCACGGGCCCTGTGTCCAGCTCGGCCTGTCCCTGAACTATTGACAATGACACAGACAGCAAGAAACGAGATTCATTTTCTAAGCCCAAGCTTAGAGGTCAGATTTAACAATTCCTGCCACTTAGCAAGCAGGGTGAAAAGTCGGAGGTGAGCAACTTGCAAGGGTGGAATCAGACACAGGAATGCCCAGGACGTGCCCAGGTGGTATGTCTCCCTCACAGCAAACGAACACACAGCTATCCAGCATCTCAACTTATCACACAACGGCGTGTGGTCATGGGCACTCGGGTGGCATGGAAGCAGCCTGGCTTCACTTCTTAATCTGGTGCAAATGTGACCCTGGACGGGAACACGCCTGGGTGTCTCTGTGCCAGACAGGTCCCCATCACGAGCAAATCTGTGATGTCCTGCGCGGCACCAACTGACCGTAGGGGAGGAGGGAACAGACTCTCTGCCTTCGCCCTGCCCGACTGATCCTGGCCAAATGCCTGTTACCCAATTTGCTTTTGGCTTAATGCTGTAAGCCATTTCCAGCTGTCTTTTAAAAACGTATATTCTGGTTGCAAGGCAAACTGCCTTGGAAAAGTTTGGAAGTTCATCAAATAGTTAAACAGTTACTACATGACCCAGTAATTCTACCATCGGCCTGCACCCAAGAGAAATGAAGATATGTGACCACGCAAAAACTTGTACACACTGTTCACAATAGCATTATTTATAACAGTCAACAACTGGAGCCGGGCACAGTGGCTCATGCCTGAAATTCCAGCACTGAGGGAGGCCGAGGCAGGTGAATCACTTGAGGTCACGAGTTCGAGACCAGCCTGGCTAACATGGTGAAACTCCGGCTCTACTAAAAATACAAAAATTAGCTGGGCCTGCTGGCATCCATCTGTAGTGCCAGCTACTCGAGAGGCTGAAGCAGAAGGATGGCTTGAGCCTGGGAGGCAGAGGCTGCAGCGGGCTGAGAATGCACCATTGCACTCCAACCTGGGCAATGAGAGAGAAACCCTGTCTCAAAAAAAACTTTTTAACAAAAAATAAAAATAATGGAAACAACCCAAAAGTCTACGGATATAACAAATAGAATGTAAGATAAAATGTTGTACATACAATGGAATGTTATTTGGCAGTAAAAAGGAATGAAATATTGATACGTGCTACAATATAGATAAACCTTGAAAAGATTTTCTAAGTGAAAAAGCCAGTGGCAAACAGCAGCATATTACACAGTGCCATTTACGTGAAATGCCCAGACTACGCAGTCCGCAGAGATAGAAAGTAGATTGCTCAGTGCCGCAGGCTCGGCTTGGAGGAGGCGCTGGAGGACAGTGGGCTGTGGGGTTTTTGGTGAGGCAAGAGAAACATTCTAAAATTAGATAATGCTGATGATGCCCAACTCTGAATATAATAAAAGCCACTAAATTGCTAAAAAAAAAAAAATAACAAAATATGTCATCTATATCACTGACATCCTGCACAATGAGCTGACCATTTTCCCCTGAGTAGTACTTCCCCATGTCTAGGTCCTGGCATCTGACCCTAGAACGAAGGAAGAAACGAGGAGCAGTGAAGGAAGTGTCCTCAGCAACCATGTCAGCCCACCTCGCCCAGGGCGAGTCCCAGGAGCCACGTGTCCAGTCCACCCCAGCCCTCCTGGTCCTGGCCACCCTCATGGTTCCCCCACAGCCACACGACAGCCTCCTCACAGCGGCCTTTCCTCTGCCCTGCCCCTCCGCTCTGCACAGCAGCCAGGGTGATCTGCTGTGAAAACTACATCCTATCCTTCCCCAGCGTAAAACTCTCCAAGGTTATACTGACCACTGCTGATGGATGACACAGCTCCTCAGCCAGGAACAAGAAGGGGGTCCCTGGCCTCAACAAGCTTGTAATCCGTGAGAGATCAGGATACAGTTAAGCCTTTCAAAGGCGATCCTCCCATGTATCTCCCGTCACAAAGGCTGTTGCATAATTTGCTTTTTCTTTCCATTATGAAAACTCATCTCCCATCACCTTCACAAGTGCCCACAGAAAAGAGAGCTGAGGTCACCACAAGCCGCTTCCAGGCTTTATGGGTTTGGGACATGCCACCTCAGCACTTCTGGCCAGGACTTCTTCCTCATTCCTGACTGTGAGGAGCCCAGGATCGGCGGTCAGCAGTGGTGAGAGTTTGGAGTGGAGAAGGGCAGGACCTGACTTTCACAGCAGACCACTCTGGCTGCTGTGGGCACAGAGGACGGAAGGCCACGGTAAAGAGGCCGTGTGTAGCCTCCTCGTCTTTCAGTCTGACCTGTCATAGCCCCCTTGCTTGTTTCACCAACTACCTGAATCCCGTGTGTCCTCCTTAGGACGGTCTCCGCCCCTCCTAGATCTTCTCTGAGTGCACTCTGACTCTGAACAAGACTCAGACAGAATACTTCTCCTTTGTCTTTGAAATTCTTTCTGGCTGGCAACAAACAAAACAGCCTTAGTCTTCTGTGCCTATAAAACACTGACCCAGTGTTTTTAGAATATCATCCAGAATCACTTAAAGGCCCTTTTCATGGGTGGCAGCTGAAGGTCAGGAGCCATCATCCCATAATCACACTGCGAATTAATTTTCCCGGGTATGTTATCTGAAGTGAAGTGAAAAGACCTTGGTACTAGCCCGGGCTCCATCCCAAGCCTTCAGAAGACTCCATTTCAGTTCTGCACTGGAACGAGCTCAAACTGGCTCATAAGAGGCCAGTTTTAAATTTTAGGAAAGTTGGCAAGGTGGTTGCTAAACACAGCCATTATAAAACATTAAATCATACACACTTACAACTACATAAAATGTTTTTGAAAAGGTGACATGGAATCAAAAATTCTTCACTTCCTAGTTGTTTTACTGTATCTTCTTGTGATCTATGCACTCTGGAGGCTTTCTTTACATGCACGTCAGCTGCATGCTGGAAATTCCGTGTAACGGCATGCTACTACCAATCTCTTTCCAACACTGAATTCATTGACAGCCTGAAATCAGCCATGGTGAGAGTATTTACACCATGGAATCAGCCGACACTGCAAAACAGGGCGTTTGCCCCCTCCGGAGCCCACTGTTAAACATTCACAAGCAAACCACTACTCCAATTGCTGGTGTCAAGAACCAAGGCATTGGATTTCCGGCTCCAAGTTCCCTGCCGAGCTCACAGTGCTCTGACTCTGTGAACCTGGCATCAACAGGGGCGGCTTAACATTCTGGTGGGACCTACAGAGTAACTCTCTGAAGTTCTTCCATGCTAAGATGCTCAGGAGATGAAGGAAGAATCAACTGGTGAGATGCTTTGAGCTCAATACTTTTTGTCATTTAAAAGTTTAAAAAGACAATTGTCATCGCCAAAAATGTGGCAAAAGCATGAAAAGAAAATATAGTAACTTCTAGGTAGGTAAACCCATCTGTTACCAGGAGGTAAGCCCAGGCTCTGCCTGTAATCCCCCCACCCTCATCTTCCAAACAATCCTCCCTTCTTTTCTCATTCTTCAAGTATTTCTTAATACTAAAAGACTCTATATTAAAAATGATTATATATCTTGCTGAATTCAGATTTCTACAGCACATCTATTTTAAATAAGAGTATTCACATTTCAAATTATATTCCAAGTACAACAATAATAAAGGTTTTTTAATTAACTTTTTTTTAACATAAAGTCTTATTCATGAGGGACTGTAAGGAAAATAATTTATCATAACGTTGATTCACAATATGTGTCTTCTGACAGCAGAAATAAGAGTTATATTAAACAGGGTAGTAAGAACTCTCAGTATTACAGAAATATAAGCATTAGTATATAATTTCAGGTAACGGGATGAGGTGAGGCCATTTTGTCCACTAACATATTTTGTCCTTGGTGATGGCCACAGGAGTCAACATGGAATGGGAGGAAGCAAAGGTAATTTAATTCCGCGTGCCTCACTGCACGCTGCACACTTAGAACTAAAGGAAGAGGAACCATAAAAAATAGACACAAAATTCTCATTTCTATAGTCTCAGAGGTAAGGTGGACTGGGGCAAAAGAGAATGAATGGTGGAAACCTTAGTCCCTAATGACAAGGAAACCCCGAGCGCGAACGTCCCCTCTCGGTAGGCCACGCGGGCCGATGGCAGCAGAGAGAGTGTGGCCAGCTCCCGAGGACCCTGGGACCCCACGAGCTGGCTTTGGTTCCGGGAAGAACGGGCAGGGGGGTCTAAAGCCAGCCCACCCTGACCCGCTGCCATCTGTGGCCAGGCCCCGGGAAGCCAAGGTGTGCAGAGTGGAACAAGAGGAAGAGAAGCGGGAGACGGGAACAAAAAGGGAAGAGGGCGAGCGGCACAGGCAGGCGAGGGCGGGTCCTCAGGGCCCCGGGTGCGACAACCCGAGGGACCGTCTCACCGCCAGCAGCTCCGGCTTCGCGTTGAGAAAATCAAGGTCCCTCCACGAAACGGGATCAGGAAGAAAAGAGAAGCGAAGAGGAGGAGGGACCTCGCCGCTGGAAGCCTCTGACGCCTAGAAAGCTGCCTTCGTCCCCACGGGGCGGGAAACGCAACAGCAGGCCGCGCGCCCCCAGGGCCCCCCGCGCACCTGCGCCTGGCCAACGCCTGGCCCCTCTGTCACCGCGCTGCCGCGTTTCCGCAGTGGGCACGCTGCGTGGAAGGGCCACGTAATAAACAGGATAAAAAGGCTGTCATCCCCCGGTGGGAAAGCCGTCCCTGCGGCTCCGGGGGGACAGTTTGGAAACCTAAGGAACGGACAGTGACTCGGGAGGCAGGAAGCCAGCCCAGCCTGGGGCCAGCCTAACGAGCCCCGAGGCCCGCACCGCGCCAGGTAAGAGAGCAGAAGGCCCAGCGCTGCTGGAACGTGAGGCTGCAGGACCCGCCACAGAGCGGAAGAGGTGACCGGCCAGGCGGCTCACGCCCGTCATCCCCACACTTCGGGAGGTGGAGGCGGGTGGATCACCTGAGGTCAGGAGTTCGATGCCAGCCTGACCGACATGAAGAAACCCCGTCTCCACTAAAAACACAAAAACTAGCCGGGCATGGTGGTGTGCACCTGTAATCCCAGCTGCTCGGGAGGCGGAGGTCGCGGTGAGCCGAGATGGCGCCATTGCACTCCAGCCTGGGCAATATGAGCGAAAGTCCGTCCCAAAAAAAAGAGACGAGGTGTGTGCACGTGCGGGCCAGCGCTACTGACACGTGAGCCTGCAGGACCCCGTCCGCGGAGAGGAGAGGAGAGGTGTGCCCGCGTTCATGCCCATTCTCACGCTTGTCAGTCCAGCTGCTGTCCCCGCCCCGCCCCTGCAACCGCCCCTGTACACACGCACACACACCCCTGACACACGCACATGAACACACACGCACACACCTGACACACACACCTGACACATGTGCACACATGCACACGCGCACACACCCGACACATGCACACACACGCACACACCTGACAAACACCTGACACGCACACACGCACATGCACATGCACACACGCACACACCTGACACACACACCCGACACATGCACATGCACACACGCACACACATCCCTGACACACACACACGACACACACGCACACACCTAACACACCTGGCACGCGCACGCACACGCGTACCCCTGCACACACGCATGCACACGCCTGACACACGCACATACCTGACACACACGCACACACACGTACACGCGCACACACGCACATGCACACACACACCTGACAGCCACGCGCATCTAGCTAGCCGCCGCGCACACTCACTGACCAGGGCTGGCAACTCCTCAATATTTGGTAGTGCTATTTCATAGTGATCTGGGAATATAACAAGTTTGGCTTCATCTTCGTATTCATAATCGTCGCTATTTAAATCGTCATCAGTATCTAGATCTGGGGAGAAAACAAAAACAGAGAACAAGAAGTGAGGAAAGCAGCATCCGCACTGCTCTGGGGAAGCAGCACTCAAGGTCGGGGCGAGGCGGTCCAAGGGGGTGACATCTACAGCCTGCTCCTCTGACAGGGCGGGCCATCGTCCCAAACCGGCAACAGCACGCCCGTCCAGCTTTCCTGAGTCGTGAACACTCACGTATCAGCGACTGATGCATGGAGAAGACTGAGCCATTTCATAAAGCTTTGCACTTAAAATAGACCAATGTGCAAGATACTCAAAGAATTTCTCAGAAGGAAAATGTCTTAGAAATTCCTAAAAAGGAAAGGATTGGTAATTCCACTGTCAGGTACTCGGCTCCTGATTTCACAATAGGCTGGAATGGTTGGTTGTTTTTTGGGTTTTTTTTTTTTTTTTTTCAATATCATAATATGAAAGGATGGTTTTAGAGTTGGCGCACTTAGGTTCAAGTCTGGCTCTAAAACATAATGTCACTTTGGGCAAGTCACAAACTCTCCAAGCCTTAATTTTCCCATTTCTTACATGGAGATAATGGTATATATCTCACATAGTTCATACGGGAGATAAACAAGAACAAGAGACCTGGCAATATAATAGGTAGTTGATACATGTCAGCTATAATTTAAAAACAGAATCTCCCTCTTGCTCTCTCCCGCTCCCTCTCTCAGAGGGTTGAGTCACTGCATAGTAGACCAGAGGGGGAAGCCCTAGAATGTGAGTGGTCAGATTGTCCTTGGTTGCAGAGAATTCTCGGCAAGAAAGATGAGCTCCTTGGTCAGGTGTGGTGGCTTACGCCTGTAATTCCAACACCTTGGGAGACCGAGGCGAGTGGAACATGAGGTCAAGAGATGGAGACCATCCTAGCCAATACAGTGAAACCCTATCTCTACTAAAGATACAAAAATTAGCCAGGCGTGGTGGCGTGCGCCTGTAGTCCCAGCTACTTGGGAGCCTGAGGCAGGAGAATCGCTTGAACCCAGGAGGTGGAGGTTGCAGTGAGCCATGATGCAGCCACTGCACTCCAGCCTGGGCGACAGAGCGAGACTCCATCTCAAAAAGAAAGATGAGCTCCTCTAGCCTGTTATCCATCAAGCTGTCGCCTCTTTGCTCGGCTGGGCTCTGGTAAAGGTTAAATAAAGGCTCAAGGAAATTGTCTTGTCACAATATTTATATAGACATTTCAGCATCACTTGTACAGGGACGCCAGCATCCCAGATCATGTTTGTATATTTATGCTTGGAACTATGGTGACAAAGAGCTAGTGAGTTATATTCCACTCACATGCACACAAAAACAGGCACACGAACACACAGAAATGTGGGCTCTACAGACAAAGTTATTTCATTTATTGAAGCAGCCACCTGAGAACCAAAGGGTCCAGACTGTTATTACTTGTATGTTTCCAATCAAAAACCCAGTATATGTTTATGTACAGCTCTGCTCTTAAATTCCCAAAGGCAGGGCAGTCTGTAGTAAGAAATGAACAAATAAGATACAGCTGAAATGAAGTCTAAGCCTTTTTTTGTTTTTGGAGGCAGGCTTTCACTCTGTTGCCCAGACTTGAGCACAGTGGCGTGATCATAGCTCACTACAGCATCAAACTCCCAAGCTCCAGCTATCCTCCCATCTCAGCCTCCTGAGAGGCGAGGACGGCCCGGCCTGGCTAATTTTTTTATTCTTTGTAAAGACAGGGTCTCACTATGTGACTCAGGCTGGCCTCAAATACCTGACCTCAAGTGACCCTTCCCACCTCAGCATCTCAAAATGCTGGGATGAAAGGTGTGAACCACCACACCTGGTCTAAATGTTTTAATAGAAGACTCTAAATAGTAAAAGTCAGAAATACCAAAATAAAGAGCCAAACTAAACACTGCTAGGGAGCTACAGAAGAGAGGGTCATTTGACAAAAGGTCATTTTAAAGAAGATTCTGTGAGTTTAGGCGGTAACTAAAGGCATTTCCTTCAAGGATAGAATTCAAAGAAAGATTCTATATGTTATAAAAATGTGAATGCTTCAATATCTATAACATTTTAAGTTGGAATCTAAATGTTTAATAAAAATAGTATTCAACCCAATATAATATTATTTAAATCATAGTTTAGCCTTTAGGCTATGTAGAAACAGAAACGTTTATGCTATGTTAATGCTAAAAATACAAAATTCATCTTCACTGTAAAGACTTTGTATTATGCTCATAGACAAAAATGAGAGGGAAACCTAAACAAATGAAAATAATGAATGAATGAGCTTTATTCTCAAATCTTTCTTTATTACAATATTGTATATATAACAATGTTAAGTAACCAAAGCATAAATCTTGTGATTGTTTGTATGCAGATTCAGCTCATATAAGATATTATCTCTTTTCCACAAAAAACATGCTCATTTAAAGCTAATTCAATCAGCATAAATGAAATACAAAAAAAAAAAAAAAAAAAAATCCTTGGCCAGGCACGGTAGCTCACACCTGTAACCCCAGCACTTTGGGAGGCTGAGGCAGGCAGATCATGAGATCAAGAGATCGAGACCAGCCTGGCCAACATGGTGAAACCCCGTCTCTACTAAAAAAATACAAAAATTAGCTGGGTGTGGTGGAGCATGCCTGCAGTCCCAGCTACTCAGGAGGCTGAGGCAGGAGAATTGCTTGAACCCGGGAGGCGGAGGTTGCAGTGAGCTGAGATTGTGCCACTGCACTCCAAACTGGCAACTGGCGACAGAGCAAGACTCTGTCTCAAAAAATAAAAATAAAAAAAATAAAAAATAAAAAATAAAAAAAGTCCTACTCTGGCATTTGCTAGTTATGTAACTCTAGAAAATGTATTTCTAAGGTCATTTTTCTCATGAGTAAGACACACATATTATCTACCGCACAAGACTGTTAAAAGTGTATTAAACAAGATAACGTTTCAAGGCTAGTGCAGGATCTGGTAGGTTCTAGGGGACTCCACAGACAACAGCCACCATCAGCACCCGCTTCGCCGCGTCTTCCCTATTCCTGAAACAAACACAAGCGAAAGCACCTTCCCTTTTCCCTTCCCTTCGGGTGCAAGACCATGGCACATGTGGGGATCTTCTATGAAATCTGGGCATTCAGAGGGTATGACCTCCCACTTCTTCTGGACTGTACGCTCAGAGAGCAGGAAATGAGTGTAACCGCCACGTCGCTAGCCCCTGTACTGTGCCCGGCACATGCCACACTCTCTGTAAATGTCTGTGAATAGGACTCCAGGAAGCCCACAGCATCAACATGCTAAAAACAACAGCAAAACAGGAAGACCAAGAGAGCCGCACTGCATTTTAACTAGCAACTCCTGTGTGTTTAAGAAGACGCAAACTGCTGCCGTGCAAAAAAGTCGGACTGTTTTGCTTCTTCACACTTAGTTGACGTTTACTTTTATTTTATTTTATTTATTTTATGTTTTTGAGATGGAGTCTCGCTCTGTCGCCCAGGCTGGAGTACAGTGGCTCCATCTCAGCTCACTGCAACCTCCGCCTCCCGGGTTCAAGCGATTCTCCTGCCTCAGCCTCCGGAGCAGCTAGGATTACAGATGCACACCACCATGCCCAGTTAATTTTTGTATTTTTAGCAGAGACAGGATTTCACCCTGTTGGCCAGGCTGGTCTTGAACTCCTAACCTTGTAAGCCGCCTGCCTTGGCCTCCCAAAGTGCCGGGATTACAAGCATGAGCCATCGTACCCAGCTGTACTTTTATTTTTAATTCAATGGAATGGAAGAGGGGCATGATCTTTCCCAAAAAACTTAATCCAAATTAGGGAAAAGTCCACCAGAGGCAACCTACATTCTGATTTAGGAGACAAATCTAGGTTCCTCCTGAACATATACAACACCACAGCCCTAATAAAGCCAAGATTTCCAGATGTCTCGAAATCATGTCTCGTCACCCCAAAAATATTTAGTTGAAAAACCTACAGAGTCACCATGCCCTAGGGCAGGTGTCTCCAAACTTTTTACACAGGGGGCCAGCTCACCGTCCCTCAGACCGTTGGAGAGCTGCCACATACTGTGCTCCTCTCACTGACCACCAATGAAAGAGGTGCCCCCTCCTGAAGTGCGGCGGGGGCCGGATAAATGGCCTCAGGGGGCCGCATGCGGCCTGCGGGCCATAGTTTGGGGACGCCTGCCCTAGGGAGACCCATCTTCTCCCCAGCTGCTACCTTCTATCTGGCTCTTACATGGCAATGCCCAAGAGAGTTTTCTCCAAGTTAAAAAATAATAATAATACCAAAAACAAAAGTCCGGGCGCCATGACTCATACCTGTAATCCCAGCACATTGGGAGGCTGAGGCGGGTGGATCGGAAGTCAAGAGATCGAGACCATCCGGGCCGGCATAGTGAAACCCCATCTCTACTGAAAATACAAAAATTAGCCGGGCGTGGTGGCGCACACCTGTAGTCCCAGCTACTTGGAAGGCTGAGGCAGAATAATCACTTGAACCCAGGAGGTGGAGGTTGCAGTGAGCCGAGATCGTGACACTACACACACTCCAGCCTGGCGACAGGGCGAGACTCCACCTCAAAAAAAAAATTCTTCCCCAACTCTGCTTCGACAGCGGTCCCGGGATCTGAGAAGTGGCCGGGACTGCCAATTTCCCCAGGACGCCCGAGCTAGGAAGGACAGCGAGGGGATGCACGGGCCCTGCACAAGCCAGGGCCGGGTTCCCAGGTCCGCGTTCTCTCAGCCTGACCGTATCTATTAACTGTCATTGTTGGAGGCACGTGTCTGTCCGAGGCTGCGTCATCTAACCGACTCTTTACCTTCGGGAGAAGGTACAGGGGAAAAGCCTCTTCAGCACAGGACATGTTCTGTCTCCCACTTCAGAAAGAAAGAGCAAATGAAGTTTATTTGAACCCTCTGGTTATCAGAGGCGCAGACGAAGCTTCTGAACAGGCCCGTTAGCGAAACTCTGCACACATTTCCTGTTTTCAGTCCATTGCTCAGCAAGTTTGAACCCCCGATC